GGTTGTTAGTGTTTGGCGCCGGCGGAGGGAGTCATTCCTGCAGCTGCACTTCCGGTCGGCATTTTGTTCTGAGAGGGAGAGACGGAACGAGAGAGAGAGACACACAGGGCTCCTTCCCCCCGCCCTCCCCCCCCTCCCTCCGTCGGTACCGACTCACCCGACACCACCAAGCCGCTGGGAGGGACGCCCCCGCCGGCAGGAGGATTGGTTCCCGGGCCCGCGGCGATGTCCCCCCGGTAGCTCGGGCCCCCGCTCGGGTGTTTGTGAGTGTTTCTATGTGGGAGAAGGAGGAGGAGGAGGAAGAAGCAGCAGCGATTTGTCTTCTCGGCTGGTCTCCCCCCGGCTCTACATGTTCCCCGCACTGAGACGGAAGAGGAGCCGTAGCCACCCCCCCTCCCGGCCCGGATTATAGTCTTTCGCCACCGCGGCCTCGGCCTGCTCCCGGATTCGGACGCCGATTCGCCCAGGTAAATTCCTGCTCTTTATCTCGGCGGCGGCGGCGGCGGCGGCGGCGGCGGCGCCAGGTCCTCAGCGGCGCTCTCCGCGCTCCCCTCCCCGCCGTTTCCGTCGTAGCGGCCCCGGGTCTCCTCCGCGGGCGAGTCGAGAGTTCGCTCCTCTCCGGTGGCAGCCGCCCTGGGTGGCGGTGGCTGTGGAGCCGCTCCCGGCCGCTCCCGTGCTGGGGACCGGGCTCCCGCCGGGCGGCCGGGGAGGCGTAGGCCCGGCGGAGAGCGCAGGCCGCGGGCCAGCGGAATCTACTTGAGCTCGGGGATTAGGAGAGCGCCGGGCTGAGCGGAGCGGCTGCTGGTCGGTGACAGGCCTCGCCCGGGAGAGGAGCCGTAGCTAGCGAGGAGGCGGAAACAATACAACTAACAGCAAATGTGCGCCGATCGTCCCCATATTTACAACTTTCCCGGTCCGGGAGTGGGGAACGTCCCAGTGAAACAAACAACCCCCCTTCTCCCCCCTGTGACCCCACGAAGGGAGGAAGTAGTTTCAGTTAGCGAGCCCAATGTAAATACTCAGACGCGAAAACCGTGGTAATTCTTTCTCTTTGCAAAACTTGTTTGCACGTCGGAAAGTTAATAAGGAGTCGTTTTCTTTTTAAAATAATTAAATAACCCACATCAATATTTAATAGAGAAAGCCATAATGTGGCAGTGACTGTCCCCCCCCTGCCCCCCGGAGTGCTTTTATGTTGTTTGACAGTGCGTGTTGCACATGGACTTTTAATTCAAAGTCAAGTATAAAGTACTTGACAGGTTTACTCTGCCACCTTATATTTGTATGCGTTATATAAGGACAATTTTAAACGACTGTGCATAAAGCACTCAGGTACTTCCTGACCCAAACATGTACAAGCATACAAAGAATTTAAAATGTTCCGAGCATTGTGCTAAGATAAGGATTAAGACGAATTTTCTTTAAAAAGAGAGAAATTAAGTAATACTTAAAAATCCTTGAGAGATTTTTGAAAAAGAAAGAAGGTGCCATCCTTTCATGTCAGGGCAGATCTTCTTGAGGTCCCAGGGTTGTCATTGGCTGTTTGTGCCATGATGTTTGACTGTGTAATGAGAGAGGTGTCGTTTTAATAGGTCAAATGTATCTGTAAATGCTGGAGAAAAATATCAGTTCTATCTCAACAAGTTTAGTACGGGATAAGTGTTGAGAGCTTGTTTGTGGAGGCCTTAATAGATTAATATAAGGGGGGGCGCAGCCAGTTTAAAAGTCCTCGGTCACAGAAGTTGCATAGAAAAATACTATAAATGTACCTGGCTTACTCTCTTTTGATACTTTGTTTCCTATTCAATGAGGAAAACCCTCGTTGGTTAAAATAAAGCAACGCTGCTCAATAAAGTTCCTTGTTTTACTAGTGGGTGCCACACTGCCTCGAAATTTTTTGTTTCTTATTAAATTATTATTGTCACTGTTGAATAAGTAACTTTTCTGAACCTCGTTTTTGAGTTTAGCATCCTGCTTACAGCAAATTGTTTCACATTTCCTACAAACGTACGGATAAATGTTAGAAAGAGTGAAGTTAATATAGCTGTCACGTACAAGGCATGTTTTTAATGCTGTAAATCCGTGTAGTAGTCAGTAGCGTGTCCGTGATTTGTATTGGTCAGGGAGCAGTTTGAATTTTAAAAAGCCTGAAGCTCCTGCTGAGCCCCAATCCCGGCCTCCCTCCCTCCCACTAATCTCCCATTCCTGTCTTTGTGCTGCCTGCTCCTGTTAGACAGTTTGCTACGGGGCCTCTGGCCTACAGTGGGCTTGGGGGGTGCGGCGCGCGGGTGAGGGGGGACATGGTAGGGAGAGAATGCATAAGGGAGGAACTTTGCACATTTTAAGAGAAAGCTGAGGTGGGGGGACATGGGGTGTGGTAGGGCTTCATTATAAATGTTTAAAAGGTTTTCTTGTGTTTCTGTTGTCTGCAACTTTTACTCATTAAAATACTAAGATGTTTGTTAAGGGATGAGTGTATTTCCACTATAGATGGAAAGAACAGTTCTTGTTTTAGATTTCCTCAGAAGCAACTTAGGTTTAGAGCTTTATAAAGGGAGCCTTATGCAGATGTTTGACTCTGTTAAATATCAGTTTCATCTTTTTTTTCCTTGGGACTTTGGAATTAGATCATAGTTAATTATTCCTCTTATTTTCCCAGTTCTACATGTCTAATACAGATCCTGTGATAACTTTCGTTAAGATAGCATAAACATTTCCTTAAAATATACTTGAAAATGTCGTTTGGCTTGAAGCATTTAAATTGCTCATTTTTAAAAGAGAAACTCAAAACTTGAACTTTAAATTTTTGGTAACACTATCGAAGAAGGTAATTTGTGTTCCACTGATGGTCTGTTGGACCTCTCCTGTATTGAGATACTCGCCAGGGGCAAACCTTGTACGGTGTTTCCTTTTTTGGAGAAAAAAAAAAAAAAAAAAACAGTCAGTGAAAAGGTACAAACATTATGTGTCCCAGTATTCTTAAAACTAGTTACATTATTTAACTTGAAGACAATCTTAAAATAAATAATGAAAATCTAGTAAATGCATGTTGAACATTAATTATCTGCAGGTGTTTTGAGAAGTATATAGAAAGCATCCTTTTTAAAGCCATTTAAATATTTGTTTATTGAAGTCATTTGAGTGCATTTTGGAAGCTGTGCTAGGTATGGTTATACTACTGTCTATATTAAAAAATATATTTTCGAAGGACTATTTGAGATTCACTTTAGAGATGAAAAGTGAAACTTTTTGCAATAGTAGTAAGCAATTTGGCTCTGCACAGTGATCATTATTAAATTTCAGAAATATAACCAAAACAAGACACTGAAACATGAAAACAGTTAAGGAGGAACTGGAGTACCAGACACAGACACAAACATGTCCTTTCTAAGGCTTCCTAAACTAATGCTATATTTAATTTTTTGGTACCAATAAATCATCAGATCATCATGGAATACCTGAACTGTCTGTGTTAGATTTTGACATAGCTTATTGTGCTATTTCTGCTTTCTCAAAATCAGATGCATAATTAATAATAGATGAGTAAATAAAAAACTTGTTTGTTTTTTAGGTGATGTCATTTAACTTTTCTATTGCTTCTAAGGAAAAGCACATGTAAATAATTCTAAAATATTAAGCTAATATTCCACTTTTGTATTAGGTGATTGGGAGATTTGAGGTAAATAACATTTTATTTAGAGAACTGTAGTTGTAATTATCACATTTATTTGCCATAATGTAAATAAGAAAGTACTGGCAAAGTACCTTGATAGAACCCTTATAATTATTTCACTTAAGATGCTTATTTTAATATTCTAAGCATAGGGAATTGGCTTTGGCGGCAGTTTATGGCCTTATAACTTTCAAAGATCAATTTTTAAGCATAGTTTTTCCTATTTTCAACAGTTGTCATTTACATTACTTTTTGTTTTTAAACTGTTCCTTCAAGGTGACCTGAGTCTATTTAGAAATTTTCTCATGTTTCTGTGAGAGAAATAGCCAGCATGATTTCTAATTTTTGACAAAAAACTTGACACTAGAGACCATGTGATTTTCGTAGATTCCTGGAGTGAATCAGTTGAAGATAGAACTCTGTGACATTTACTAGTTTTTTTAAAATAGATTATGTTGCTTTAAGAAATGTCTGAGCTTTGATTTTGAAGGTAGGTGTTGCTTAGTACTGACACTGATACCATTTGTGACTTTGTCAATTATCTGAGTTCAAGTTAGTTTTCTCTTTTTCTTTGAGAGATGATAACTGTTCCTGGTTGTGTTTCCTTGTTAAGAAAGTAGAACTTTTACATTAGAAATCCCAGCAGCCTTGAGTGTATGTGTTTGGTGTTTGATTGACTGCTTTTATTTTCATATGTCCCTACAGAGAAGTATAAGTGAGTAACCATACTGTTGTAAGTGATACTAATATCTCCTGAAATGTTGGGTTTTTACATTTTTATTTTAAAAATTACTAGAGTGAATTTTACTGTTTCTACTAGTCTAAAAGCATCTTTTAAAGCCATGTTTCTTAGTTGAAGGCCATCATTGTCTTTATAAAAATTATTGTATATGCTTCAGATATTTTGCCTACATAAGTAATAAAAGTAATTTTAGATATTCGTCTTTTATGTAATTTTGATTTGGTGTAAATCTGGAATTAATTTCAGTGGGTTGGGTTTTGTAAGTTTGCATTGTCTTTAAGGCATGTTGTTTTCTATTCTCAAGTTGATATTAAGAGGAATTTACTTTATTACCATTGCCATATAGTTTTTACCACATAAGATTTTGAGGGCTTATTGTCTGCAGGAATTGTGTTAGCTATATGCCTATAGTATTATCTCATTTAATTCTTCTAGTAAGCTTATGAAATAAAAACGGTGATTGTCCAGCTTACAGACAGAAGAAAAACTGGAAAAGTTTAGAAAATTACCCAGGTGTGTGGGTGTGTGTGTGTCCCATAGTAGGGATGGAATCCAGAGCCTTTTTATTGGCCTATATCCGCAGTCTTTTGTCTATTGATTTTTTTTCAGACAGGGTTTTGCTGTCAGTAAATCACATGGGCTAGGCTGGAATTTGGGTGCTCCTGCCTTGGGCTCTTGGAGTGCTGGGGTAACATAGACACGGCCAAGGAGATCTGGCATGCCTGTAGGCTTACAGGTAGTGAGTGATCCGTCTGATTTACATTTATTTTTAAGGATTTAGGACTCTGCATTTCTAGTTTTATTAAAATCTTAGTATTCTTTTGTTTGCTCAAGTTTTAAACGCCATGCAGTCAAAAAAATTATATGCGTCAGGCAAAGACACTAAAATAGAAATCAGGCTATAGATCCTAGATGTGTGTTCTTGTTTATTTATTTATTTATTTATTTTGTCAGAACTGGGGATTGAACTCAGGCTCTTGCGCTTGCCAGGGAAGTGCTTATTCCACTGAGCCATCTCCCCAGCCCCTAGATGTGTGTTCTTGAAATGAGCA